TCACACGCAAAATCTATTACCAGGCTTTTTTCTTAAATTGTGGGGCAATTTTTTTCAAAAACTTTTTTTATGAATCTTGTACAAGATTTCTTTATCAAACAGCTTGGATCGACAATAGAGGGCAGTCGGAAGATTCAGGGACATTCAGTGTTGTTTCATTTAGTAATCGAAATTTGGCCGTTATTTTTAACTGCATCTTGAACATTCCATCCGTTATAGGGATCCGTTGTGCTGCTTTGTTTACATCAAATTTTACTTTATGGATCCTTAATTTCTCAGTTTTGGATCTATTTGATCCGTGATTCGGTTATTATATAAAATTTTTCCTCTCTAAATTCAAAATTTTTTTAATTTTAAAGCTGATTTGGATTATTTTTAGTTTAGCTATTATTACATTTACTTTTTTCACCTTAATTGGCAGAAGTTCCCAAAAAAATCAATCAGGAGTTTTAGGCCAGAATTTAAATTTAACAAACAGATTGTTTTTCCTGAATCACTATCTTCGGAACAAATCGTGCTTATTCTGCTTGTTGATCAAAGTTTTTATTTGATCAGATTGGTGCAGAAAAAAAAACGTTTCTTCTAAAAAGTTTTATTGATTTTGATTTTAAAAATGCTGCAAATTAGGAAACCGCTGATTTATTATATTTTTTTTAAATGCTTTCAGCAAATTTTTATACAAATGACATTCCTAAAATGAGCAAATCAGTTTGAATTTTTTTCTTATTTTTTTTGTAGCTTTTTGAACAAGAAACTTTTGCAATTTTGCAAGCTATTTGAAAGCTTAGATAAAACTTTTTGTAAAAGAAAGTTTTTGAAAACGCAATCTGTTATAACTGAGAGCGCAGCTTGTTCTAATATCTCAATTGAACACCTAAATTAGTGATAAATTTTGATTCAAACGAAGCTTTTTTTCGGTCAATTTAAAATCAACAAAAAAGCCTGTACGTTGTTCAAAAATTTCTGACACAGATACAAAAAAAAGCTACTCGAGAAAAAAAACTTATTTTAAAAGCTACTGGGTACATTATTCTATGGGATTTTCCATTTCAACGACTAAATATAGTTGAAAAGTTTAAAAAAAAAAAATTTTTTTGCGTTAGTTTGAAGGAATCGTGAGAAGTCAATCTGACCTAAACGTAGTAAAAATGCGCTAAGAATTCACACGCGAAAACAAAATTATTTCTCACTATATTATCGAGACAATACAAAAGTTTTGAAATTCATTTGATCATTTTTTCAAGTGAACAGTAAAAACGTAATAAGATAAAAATTATTTACTGTCTCAAAAGTATTTGTATTAGCGAGAATACTAAACAAAACAACTTTTTTTTTATCAGTAGAGTTTTTTGTTTGATGCTATAATGAGGAAAAAAAATCAAAAATAAAAACTTATAGTTTCAAAATTGAAGATCAAATTTTTGCAATACATTTTCCTAAACTTTCGCACTTCCTCACCAGAAGACGTAGTTTTGCTTTTGGGATGTCACTGTTTTGATAAATTGTTTTAGAACTTCAAGTTTTTGCAGAGATGTTTTGAGTTATGCTGAAGTGAGTGTGTCAAAAAATCCGTTAATTATGCCCGTGAATTTGGTACAGTAGGCCAACTTCACTTGTAACCGCGAACATTGGTAAAAACTGGAACAATTTTTTGAATAAAATGTTGGTTACATTCACTAAAACTTTTTGACTTGATCCAAAATTTATGGCAAGAAAAAATGGTAAAGTTGTCGTAAATATTCCATAATGAAGACAAATCAGCTGAGCAACAGAAAAAAAACAGAGCAATTATTTGCATTGAACAATTGCATGCGTGTAAAATCAAAGCCTGTGATTTATTATAGAACATTGTTTTTTTTTATTGAAAAACAAATCAAGCTTTCAAAAATGTTTTCAGTTTTCTTGTGAACATGTATAAAAAACTTTGGCATTTTTGAATCAAAGTTTTATTTTCTACATTTCTCTTTTTGTTTTTTCTCTTTGTTTTGGTTTTATCTTTGTTTTAGGTTTTTTGGACAAACTTTTTTTGACACAGTTGTTCTATTTCGAGGACGTCAACTAAGACCAAGTGACGAAATATCTTCGTTTGTTCCTTTAGATTATCAATGTTACAATTCCCATCTGGAAAAGATCAAAACAATGATTTTGCTTAAAACTTTAATTTGAATTAGAATTTTAATTTTTTTTGCATTCGGGTGTGTTCTTGTTTTTTGTTCCGACCATTGAAAATGGGGAGGAACTTTGTATTCGGGTGTGTTTTAGTTGTTTCCTTTTTTTTGTTTCCCACGCAAAATCGGCTACCATAAATAATCATCGGACTGGGTTGAGTGATACATGATATTGAAGCCCTTTAGTCGTGTTTCGAGCTTCACAAATTTTTTTTCCCAGTGTCGAGAAAAACCGGTTTGAAATTTTTTGTCATTCGAGCGAGTGAGCAGGCTTATATTAGCTTATTTATGCTTAGTTTTTGCCTTGAAAATTTAGTTTAACTCAAATGAATTTCGTTTTTGGAGTTTTTAGCTTCATCTTAGGGATCAATAATTTCAAAGTTTGGGAAAAAAGTTTTGAAAAATTATAAACAAAAATTCAAATTTTTTGAATTTTTTTTAAATAATTTGTCTTCAAACATTGTTTTCCAACTTGCATATTTTACAATGATTGACAAAAAAGCTCAAGTTCTATTTTGGCGCAGATTCCTTTAATTTGTAACTTTTAGGACTGGTCGGAATAATTCTGGGCTACTTGCGCAGTTCCCGGCTATTCTTGTTTTCTTTTTTTCTGTTGATGCTTTTCTTTTTTTTTCCTCGCAAAAGCAGGTACCACAAATTATAATCGGAATAGGTGGAGTAGGATATCATTTTAAAGCTCTTTTAGTTTGAGTTACTTTTTCAGTGTCGAAAAAAATAGTTTGAAATTTTTTATTTATGGTCTGATATTAATCTAATAAAGTGAGCATGCAGGCTTTGTTTTGCTTAGTTTTAATCGTGTTAATTTAGATTTTTATAAATTTATAAGTTTCTAAAATTTTTCCTTCGATTTTTCGTTTTTCTAGTCAGTTTTCTACATAAACTGTTTTCCAATTGGCCTTGTTAACTATGTCTGTGAAATAAATCAATTTTTTTTGATCAAATTGTATGCGTCTACAAATAAAAGCGCGAGATTTATTGAAGAATTTTGTTTTATTTATGAACAATAACTTAAGCGTTCGAAAATGTTTTCAGTTTTCGTTGCTGTCAAATATAAATATTGTTGAGCACTTTTGAACTAAATTTTTTGTTTTCGGCATTTTGATTTCTTTTCCGGCTTTTTTGTACACCTTTTTGACACAGTTGTACTTGGCACTGTTGAACTATCCCTTCTTTAAGATGCAATTTTGCTTAGCCCGTTGCTCAACAGAAATGTTAACAAACCTAATTTTGGAATCAGACAAAATAGGAAAGCTAGAGCAGCTCAATTTATTTTTTGACATGACAAATCAAACCAATTTCAGATGACCTAACTTAACAATTTGACGAGTCATTTGCTCTCGCAACGCAAGTGAAACTAACTTTCAGCTATTGCAAGAAAACTGTTACTGTAATAATTGTATCTTTCAGCAACAACTAACTTCGATTTCAGGAATAATTAACTAAACTAGTTCGAGGACGTCCACTAAGTCCAGATGACGGGGTATCTTCGTTTGTTGGTTTATGTTCCAAATGTTACATTTCCCCTCTGGAAAATATCAACAGACGATGTTATTAAAAATCAAAGGCAAGGTAGCAGTTGTCCTTGAAGATTTGAACAGCCCGTATGATGTTTTTTTCTCGAGTGAATGAATGAGCTGTATTAGCTAAATGCACTTTTAGCCAACAATAATTAAATGACATCACGCATTTAGAGGGCTTTTTACGGTTTTGGAATGGTCGGAAAGAATAATTTAAGGGAAAACAAAGATGATTATAAAACTTGCATGCTGAAAACTGACTAACGCCAAAACCACCCGTGACCCGTGGTGCCATTATATACTACGCTGGGAATGAGAAAGCGCAAGGATGGATTTAGAAAATTTTGTCGAACTTTTTTTAGGCGGACCAAATTGATTTTCTGAGCTCTCTCAAACCACTATAAAGACCCTAATTAGACCACATTTTCTGCGCCGCAGGCAAAATTTTGAAAAAAGGCCAAAAAAGGGCACTTTTTAGACACTTTTTGGAAAAATTCGACCAAAAAATTGGTTTTTTCGGCGCGCGTTCCCTCCTCAAAATTAGTATAGATTGGCGCCAAGGGCGCCTTCAGAAAAATTTTAAGGTCAGTCAGCCAAAAATGGATATCTCAAAATAGTACAAAGAGGGGACCCTTTGGGTCGGCAGGGGGTCCAATCCCTGAGAAGGGAAGCGTCCCCCCCCCCAAATCCGCTACTGTGCGGCGCTAAAAATTTTACCAAAATTGAATCTTCATAGGGTTCTTGCTGAGCTCGTTCAATCAACTTGATCAATTTTAAAAAATGTGGTCAAAGTTTTCATCAATTTTTTAGAAAAAATTACCGCTCGCCGCTCTACAAAATCGCGGATCGGCCGATGGGAAAGTGAAATCAAACAGAGAATTTTTTCAAATATAAAATATACCTCAACACCGGGTTTTATTTCCATTTTTTTGTTTCTTTTTTGAAGATCTTTTAGTCATTGCAATCATAGTTCTAAGCCTTCCTCTTTCTGATTTGTTTCTTATTTCATCCGGCTTTTTTCGCTTTGGTTTGCTGCACTTTTTTTGTCCACGTTTTTTTTTTTACTTTTGCTGCGTTTCCAGTAACTTGTTTCCGCCATCATATTTTTTGTTTTTTTTTTCATTTTTCGATGCCGTGATGCAATTTAGCGCAATATAGAAAACTCTGAGAAGCTTTTGAATTGAACAAGCAGCCATATGTTACCTTTACAAGTTGGGAGCACTCAAAGGGAACAGTAACAGGTGGTTTTATTGGACTACTTCTAACTAGTTTAATCTACTAACTTACTTTTTCTTGATTCCCATTTAACGTTATAATCACAATCTCATCATAAAATATCCAAACAACTACATCATTGAGTTATTTCAATATCAGCTAATATAAAAAGAGATATTGAAAAGCTACAAATTTGCTGAAATTGAAATTTTTGATAGCATCAAAGTCTAATAAACTTTTTTCAAATCGGATCTTACGAACTTTGATACACCTCTTGCGTGTATTGTGTATACTTGTATTCTTTTCCGTGGTAAAGAAGTTTCCAGTTGGTAAACTTGAAATCAGTGAGTAAAACAGTTATATTTTTCACTCAATTCTTATTTAAAGTATTCATTCATGCCGCTGGCATAAGGGATAAGATTTTTCAATAAGTGGCGTGGTTTTTTGATTTGGTTTCTAGCTGCCTGTCACCTCCCAGATTGATTCTTGTCACCGATTCATTTTTTATTAATACCGCTGATAAACTAGTAAAAAAATACGTGTATTTAGTTATGTTTTCATAACTAGCTCAAATGTTCCTAATTTTTCATAATTGTTTCATTTGTGGGAGTTGATTGATTTTTCGGCTCGTAGTGGTCTTAACTTGAGAACTATACCGCACATGTGTGCTTAATTGTTTGTTGTTCACTGCTGACGCTTAACTTTATTGTTAACTAAAACTGATAAATAATTGTTGGTGAATCTAAAAAACTGAAGATGAAAATAAACATTCATTCCTGTGCATCATCTTAACTCTTAAGTACGCGTGAGGAAATATCAACGTATACCGAAAAAAAAGAAGTAAAAAGTTGTCCCATTGTCGATGTTTGTAAAAACGGATCGACCTCAGCAACTTAATATGAGAAAGAATTTTTTACACAGGAGGGAAAAAGATAATTCAAAAAACATTGTAGGTTTTATAGTTTTAGACTATTTCACTTTTTTGGCTTTTTCGACCAAAAAAAACTAGACGGAAATAATTTGTAGCCTGGTTGTAACCTATAATCTTCTGTTTTTAATAATTCCCCTTTTTAAAACTTGTTGTTTTCTCGCCCCTGATAATTACATTGATTTTTCAGCGAAGATTTTGGGTCATAGGCTGGCAGGTAAGGGTGTAAGAAATTAAGGCGCAGAGTCAAACTTTTGTCATCGGTCGACTGAAAATGAATGCCGGACAACTATCAAAAGGCAACGAAAATCCTAGATCCGCCCCTGGGTACTACAATAACAGATAGCACTCTTTTTTCCATTGTGAATTAAAACTGAGCATTCTTTTACATTTTGATTGAGAATGCCTAATTAAGAACTAGCATTTAGTTTTTTTTCTATCATGATGATGATGGAAGAGAGCTGATAGTGATGGCGGTGGTTTTGTTTATACGATGCTAGGTGTAACATCAGGTCGATTTCTTAGTGGCGCCGCACGTGATTCACATCATCGACCGTCATCTGGCGCAATTGCTGAGTTGGAATTGATCAGGAGAGATGAGCTAAAATCGAATCAATCATTGCATTGCAATCTTTATATCTAACTTCAATCCCAATCTAAAACGTCTTCTTTTTCCATTAGTTTAACTATATCTCCCATCATCTAGATCAACTAAACAAAAAGTCTGTATTTATATCGACAAAACTTTGAGCAATATGACACATAAAATAAGCTCTTCTTTCATTTCAGTTTTGAGTTTTTCATTATCATCAGAAACTGAATTCAGGTTTGTTTTCATACTGAGATGCAATATATATTTTCAAATAAAACTTTTCTCTGGTGAATTTTACTCAGGAAAGTTTAAATTTTGCTGTCGTTTTCAGCCGGGGAAATTTCCAAAGTACAAGAAGAATGCCCGGCTGCTTGTATTATTGCTTCGTTTTTTTTGCCCAGGCATAGAATATTTCAACCGCAATTATATTTGAAAACCAACTAGTGAAGAATCATCGAAGATTTTTTCTGAAAGCAGATTAAGAATTCTGAAAAGCAAGCAATTAAGATTTTTTAGAAAACAACAAAACTGCTCGTATCAGGGCGAAGCCCTGAATGTTCCGACTGCCTTTTAAGGTCCATGGAGCAGTAATAACAAAAAAAATTTAAATGTAACGAAATAAAAATTTAAAATTAAAAAAAAGTTGAGATTTTTGTGAAAACATCCCCCCACACGTCATATTCAAATCAAAGTGACAGATTTTGCTCCTATTAACAAATCAATTCTGGCATATAAGCTTCCTTGAACTAATTTAGAACGATTTCTCAGACGGATTAAATCTCCGCTCACCCGTTAGGAGCAATCTTTAAACCCTCATAACTTTAAGAAAAATGATCACAGTTAAAATATCTTTTCAAATTTAAGCTCAGGACAACAATTGCTTTCGAATGTTTTTAAAAAATCGAAATTTGTCTGAATAAAAAAACCCACCCCGAGCACAAATATTCCGTTACTTTCGTTACGAAAGTCGGAACAACAAATATTTGTTTATATCAATCGAATCGCGATTGGAAAAGGATATCATATAAAATATCTCTTGCCTTTGCGCAATAAGTCGATTTGTAACCTGATTTTGCGTGGAAAAAAAAACACATCCGAAGTGTCAGTTGCTTCACACTTCGTTGTCGAAACAAAAAGAGAAAACTGACAAAAAATGGGCTTGAAAGACAGACCGTCAATTTTTCTTTCTTTCATGAAACTAATAGTCTCAAACGGCTCAAATCAGAAAACAAAGGAAAGACTATTTTACTTTTTTTGTTTACAAGCTAAGAAGCATTCAAATCTTACTTCTGGGCACAAAGATAAACATTCTGTGGTAAAATTGTGCTTAATTTGTTTGAATAACTACCAAATTCGTTTGAAAAATTTTTAAACATATTAAAAAGAAAATTTTCAAATAATGTCAAAGTTGTTTTTACCTGTGATCAATTTTCAAAAAGTTACGTGGTTTGGAAACTGCTAGTTTGGTCAACTTGGGAAAAATAAAACGCGATTTAATGAGTTCTTGGAACACGTATAAGCAGAGAAAAAATGGGTTCCAAAATAAATTGAGGACAGAAATTTAGACCTTTCAAAACAACAAGAGACGCTAAACAGACTTTTTTTATCCTATATAGCATCTGGGGAATGAAATGAAAAAAAAGGAAAAAAGCCTTTCTTTCAATTATTTTGACAATTACTCTAAAAAAGTTTGTAAATTGGCCTTTACGTTCAATCAGAACATTCAAGGTTTCGCCCTTATATATGAGCTGTCTTGTTAAGGTTCTAGTTTTGAAAAGATTTTTCCATATTGCAATTTTCAAAGCTTTTTTCTTACTCATAAAATTTTGTTTCTAAAACTACTTTCAAAAAAGATTTAGTTTATTATGATTTTTGCAATATTCTATTATATGATAAATTAATATAAGGCATTTTAAGAAAGGGCTGTATTTTAAGAAAAAGCTGCACGATAGATATAACTTGTGGACTAAGATACGATTGCTCGTTTTGTTTTTGAAACTAGCTCAGCTTGATCTTCCTTAAAGTGTCGTTTAATAGTCGCTTAGTTTTTGCGCGGAAAACTGTAAGAATTAGTTTTTGTAAAATGAGCTCAAAGGTTCATGTTCCGACTCTCAAAAAAACGATGGTTTGGGTGGATTCTTAAATCAGACAAAATTCAAAGTTCTTTCAGAACTTTTTCATATCATCTGAAAAATATTGTTGATCTGAGCTCAAATCAACAAAGTTTTTCATCTGTGATCTTTTTCATACAGTAGGTAGGGCTTACGCCATCTTAGGATAATTAAGGCGCAATATCTAGCCTTCTGACAGCACGTTAGCGGCACTTTAATTCATTCCAAAGTGTGTTGAGGCTAGCAATTTGTTCTTGATTTTTTTTACCAGACTAATTATTTATCATTTGTAATTTGTAGAGTGCATGTTGGGATAAACACAAACAAGACTGATTATATCAAGTTAAGCCCCGAATGCTCAGATTGCTTTTCATGGACTGTCTATGGAGCACTGCTTGCTTTAAAAATTTTGATGAATTTTTGGAAAAAGAAAAAAAATTCAAATTTTCAAAAGTCGGAAAACAAAATGAAAAAGTAAACAAAACAGATTTGTGCATTTTTTTTCGATTTTCTGTCAATTGCCTGAATCAAAAGCTTTTTCATCAGGTGGTTAAAGAGCAGTCAGAACATTCAGTGCTAAATTAGTCTGAAAAGCACAAATACTCAGACTTTGATTCTTGTCTGTAGATCTAGTGCTTGAATAATTTTGGGAGTTTTTGGAAGGCAACTTTTGGGGCTAACGCGTGCCACATCATCGCAAAGTCGAGCGCTTTTTGTTCAAGGTAAAACGGCCTTTCTGTTTCATAAAATTCCACCGCGGTACAAAAAAATTGTTGGCTAAAAGTATCTCATGGGTGTTATAGGAGATGTCCGGGATCTTGTTTACGTTAACTATTCCCCTCTCTATGGTCTTGTAACGAATCCCCTTATTACGAACGAAAGGGTTGAACAGTTAAGCATATACGAATTTCGTACTTTTAACGAATTGCCGCCCCCTTTGCAAATAGGGGGAGACATCTAATAAAATCTGAGCTCGGAAAATCTACTTAATTATGCCATAACCAGTTTGAAACTTTCCTCCTCTTAATAATCCTAGACATGCGTCTGTTGTGAATAAGCATCAATATCTGATTACTCCCAATCTAATTTTTCTCACCTAATTTTAGCTACTTTATAATAATTTTTCAAATTTATTTTTATTCCCTCCCTTTAAAAACCGAAAGAGCCGACATCGAAAAAGAAAAGTTTGAATGAGAAATTATAGAAAAAAAAATAGTTTGATATATATTTTTTGGATTTCTGTGGTAGGTACATTTTGAGCTATTTGTATAACAGCCGGCTATTCTTTTTCAATAGAAGGATTTTTTGTTTCGCAATTAGCACTGGTCTAGTTTTACCAATGAATCAGAACAGAAGAAGAAAGAGGCAACGAATCAATTTCGATTCTGTTCGCTCTTCTCTACTGAGAAAAGACACGTGAAAGGTGCGCGCCTGGTGTGTACTTTGTTGATAGATCAAATAACCGCAAATTGCGATAACCACACAAAGAGTGAGAGAACGAAGAGCAATGCAATCACTCTAAATGATTTCAAACCATCGTCGTCATCATGACTTCCCCCTGAAGATAGCTTCAGCTGATGAGCAAAACGTGTAAAACTAGGACAACCTAATAATGTACCATATTGCTTTTCTATTGATTTATTTATTCACGTGTGCTCAATATACCATCGTGTTTTAATTGCGCCAATTTGACTTATTTCATATTTAGGTATGAGGTGAGCATAATATGAGCTAGTCCTGGTTTCGTTATCAAACTCAATTAACTATTGGGTTACCTTGTTTTTAGGACTACATTATACCATCTGTTTGTCTAAACTTTTCATAAGCTCCTCTCACTTGCTCACGTTTAAATATCCGCGAAAGTCTGAACAAACAGAAAATCAGTCGAAATTTGAGTGAAATTGATGAACTTAGGCAGGTAAGTCACACTTGCGCTTTCGAGTCTGTTCACAAATCTGATTACCTTTTTTTGTCATCGCAAGTTTTTTTGACCTTAAAGCGTTTGAAGTTCAAAACTAATAGGCTTAATCACCTTCTAGTTATCAAATCAGTTTGTCCCAAAGTTTTCTGAAGTTATTATTTTTGTTGTAGACTTTGATTATATATCGGTGACGACAGCAATCTGACACTCATAGCCGCATACTTACAAACAACATTTTCGCACGGCAGTTCGGGAAACTACACAATTCCCGGTAAGTTTGATTTTGTAAATGAGATCTACTTCGAACAGGAAATGTGAATTATCCGCTATCTAATGGTTTTTTTCTTAGTTATCATGGCTTGTTACGTGGTTAATTTAATATTGCAATTAAACTAGCATTAATTTAAATTGTTTCTTTTTCAGAAATGGAAACTCAAGTAGAGCAGCCTTTCGTTTGTCAATTCCTAGAAAAACCGACCTCTCAGAAAAATTCTGAAGACATAAGCGAGCCTTTGACACCTGCTGACAACCGTAATGATGAAGAAAACCTGAAGATACTTGAGGAGTCTTCGTCAGGCGACGAAACTGAACTCGAACAAGACGATGGTGCCTCTATGCAGATGACAATGACACAAGATCCCCAATCAAATCAAGGTGCTGAGCATCTTCTTTATCGGAAATCCACGTCACCATCATCGCCATCATCAGCATCAAAATTGCCATCAGCTGTTCCAGGTTAGAAGCAGCAACACTTTTTCTTTTTTTAAAGTAAATTTTCAGTTGTTTGTTTGACATCTCAATTTATAATTTTGCAGACAGTTGTTCCATTCTCGATATAAACTTAATTATAATTCTGAAAACAGTACATATACGATATACTATTCGTTTATGCTATCTACCCACGATTTAGTCATAATGATACTTTTTGACGTGGGAGCTTTTGTCCTGGAATCAACAGTTAATGAATTGCGAAAACTTCTAAGGATTTTTGTTTGGTTCACGCCAATCACGGGAGTTGACCTTAACCGTTCGAGAAAAAAGCTATTCGAGCAAACAGTTTTTTCATTTTTTTTTTTTCAAGAAACATTTTAGCTTGGTAAATTAGGTATAACCTTCTCATTGATTGACCCAGATACGTACGCCCTTTCTTTCGGTAACCTTTGTTCCTTGAAGCTATACTCTCCCTCCCAGCAATTGTAATCCTTCAACTTTATTCATAAAAACCCTAAAATAATTCCCTCTTTTAGCTAGCGTGTGAATGAGCCCCTAGCAGTTTGACCAAATCCACCTTAAAAGCAGTTAGGTGTCATAAACTAAGCGTAGATTAGTGTTAACTTGAGTGTCAAGGTTAAGGGATCCGTAATGTTATCTTTCCAGTGTTATTCCAGCACCGGATGGATGAAGCTCCGGTCTTATCCTGCGTCGATCTAGATTAATAACCCAATATAACTTAAGTTGTAATTAGTCAGGTTAGATAAGATATTCACACCTTGCATCTACGTTATCATTTAGCGCCGGAATTAGATCTCTAAACAATGCCAAATTGCTGACCAAGAATACTTAATCCACAGTCAGCGCTATTCGCTCAATTTAATAACAGCAGGTAATCCAACCACTAATTATCAATTCCCAATTAGAATGTATCATTCATCGGAGAAGCACCTTATTTAGCCAAACCGTAACTTTGGATACGGTCAATTAGCATTGTAAGTTTCCAGTTTTACAGAACTTGCCAATACAACGACCAATTTACCAATTCAAATGCAACGTGACAAACAATAAATTGGATCCGGCAAATAACAAACAAAATTCATCATTTATTCAAAAACTAATTCAGAAATTAGAAACTTTCTTAAATTTGTTGTTGAAATATTCATCGCCGACCATATATGTAGGTTTTCGAGACAAAAAATCTTTATAGTTACCGAGACTGCAGACCAATCTTAGTCTCGTCGTCTCATCTCAGCAATAAAAGGAGCTGAAGGTTAGTTAACCTAGATAGTACAAGTTTTTAACTTAGTCACTAGTTGTTAGTTGTTCCTCCTAAGGGCTGGCTGAATGGGAGAAATGAGAGCTCAACACGTGTGATCTCATTATTCAAAGGAGTGATTTACTTTTTTCGCCGCGCGCTATCACGATCGACTTTTTTAAACTAAGGCGATGATGGCTTGTTTTTGGCTGAAACTTCATTCCAATTGTAGTTGCATAGCGGCTGTTGCACTCAAAATACAATCACAATATAATCAATTCTAGAGCTAGATACGGTTGGCTCGTTTGGTTCGTTTGCGCCGCCGCCGTAAAAGTTGAACACGGCTGTTGCTAATTCAAAAGTGAGTGCAACACATTTTCCCATTTCACAATCCATCTCTCAACAACTCAACTCTATTCTATTAACTTTCTCAGCACCTATAATAAACAACTTTTCAACTTTCATTCAATAAACTAGATCCAAATTAATTTTCCCGTGAAAAACTACTCTCTAATGTTTTAAACTTAGTCATTGACTCTATATAAAAAATTTTCTGTACTTTAGAGGTCTATGGCTACAAAATTGACTGATTGTTTTTGACTGATTGATCGGTAAGTTGATTTCAGCCTTGATTAGTCATTGACCATGTTGATAATATTTGGGGTTTCTTTTTTCATAACTAGAATATTTTCAAAAAAAAAAATGTTTGGGACCCATCTTATTTTTAGTGACCCAACCATGTACCGTTTTAAATGCTTTGGGTGCTATAGATTTTGATTTACATTTTTCTGGGTTTCTTTTGGCCAAATTTGATTGATCATCCTCTTCTCTTAGTATCTATTTTAGTAATAATAAATCAGAATCATATAGTAATCGGGATAAGTCTGGCACATACTTGATTTCAAAGCAACATAGTTTTCAAAATCCCATTGATAAGAGCTAGAGGTGCACAAGTTGCGACTCTTTTACTCCAACCAACATCGCTCAGTTGTGAATGGCGATCAGATTAAGACTATAGAGAGGTAGCGCGGGAGCGTAGCGCAGAACAGCGGGCGACTCACAACAGGTGAATGTCACTTAGTAATTGCGAAGTAGAGATCCTCTTTGAAATGAAACTGTCCCGCTTTGCACTCCAATGGAGCCGTAAACAAATCAACAACTTCTACACTGAAATACTTCTAATCCGCAAGCTGGACCCCATTTATAAACCAGCTTAAGCAGGCCAACTGTCATCCAACCGAAACCATCTTTAACCATCTCACTTGAGTGTTAAATTGAAAAAGTAGTAAATAATTCGGATCTAATCCAGTTTCGACTATTAATTAGAACGAGTTGTTTACTTTCTCTCATCCTCATCCCTGGCAAAATTGTCATTCATCATCAAAACACATCTGTTGAAAAAATTATTCATTAAGTAGAGTTCCTTTTGTACAAACAAGTGGCAAAATAATAACTTTAACTTTGCAAAAAGTACACATACACGTTTGTTAGCATTTTTTTTTCAAAAATCAAAACACCGGCTTGCGCCTGGTCAAATAATATTTTATTAACTTGTGCTGGAAACAGAAGAAAAACGCCAGTCAGGAAACTAATAAAACAACAACAGATTGTCTCTAATCCCGAAAAAAAACAAAGATTTTTACAATCATCTTCCGGCAAATAGAGTAAGTACATGTTCCTGTTAGTAAATTATTTGGGAAGTCACTTTCGAAAGTAATTTGTAGCAACTGGCAAAGTGAAGTTCAGTTAATAAGTTAATCAAATATTGTGCTATTTGTGTCAACAATAACAGTTGTACTCTAATTATTAACTTTTTTGATATTTTCACTACAATCATTTTTCAAATCGGCAATTTTATTTTAGCTGGCTATCTCTAGCTTCGGCTTGATTGATAATAATAATCATACTCTGAAAAAAAATTCTTGAGCAAGAAATCAAATTTTACTTAAATTTTAATCTGTTACCTTGCTGACAATTAGCAATTGAAATTTCGTTGCCAAATATAGACAATTAGCAATCAAATACTGTATTTCTTTTCTCATCCTACAGGTAGGTATTCATATTTGTTTGTCTCTTTAATTAAAACAGCTTCAGTACACAATTTAGATTGATTTTTTGATAGTTTTGATGAATTTTTCAAATTTCGCAATAATTTTTAATTGCTTTGTTTTCTCTTAATGGATTATGCTAATTGAAAACAATATTTTGCTTCTTTTAAGTATAATTTGAATCTATTTCCGCCACTCACTTGCTAAAATTCCTCTTATTTTGATCCCAGGTAGTCAAGGTATCTTAGTTTTGAATTTAGTGAGCTTCCACTAATCGAGAACCTGTGATTGTTGTAGGGTCTCGCTCTAAATCAACTTCCGCCGAACAAAAAAGTCAACTCACATCAGAAAATAATCATCAACGGTCGACCTCAAATAGAAATTCACCCTCGATTTACGAATCATCAGGACTGCCCGTAATCCAATCATCAATTCCGCGCGAAATATCGCATCAAATCGGCTCAAAATATAACCAACTTTTGAATTTACAGTCGGCAAAAAATCGATTCTTGGATTCAGAAATGCTCAATTCAGTGCCGAGTAATTTCTCAATCAGCAGTTTAGCCTCTCAGTCAGTTCCTAACTCATCCACAGTTAGTGAATTGAAACTGAAACTGGACGAACTCATGGATTGCTCGTCTAGTGAGCCAATGTCATCAAACTCGTCTCTCCCCGAAGATTTTTCAGTTGAAAAATGTCACTTCTGTGAACAAACTTTTGCAGACAGAATCGGACTCTATCAGCACAAACGATACAACTGCTCCAAGAACCCTGAGGTCCTGTTGCATCAAGCAGTAGCATACACTAAGTCAGTTCAAGACGTTGCTGGAACCCAAATAACCGAGAAAGACCTGTCTTCGATTATAAAATCCGAGATGAATTCGTCATCTTTTTCTCCTTCGACCCCGATGTCAACATGCAAATTTGGAACACTGTCATTGGCCAATCAGAATGCTCAAAACTTGGAGCGAAAGAAACGAACAGTGTACACAGACAAGCAGTTGGAGACTCTTAGAGAATACTATGTCAAACAGCCGAATCCGAATTCAGACGACATTGAGAAAATCGCAAACAATATTGGACTGACAAAGCGAAATGTTCAGGTTTGGTTCCAGAACAAACGAGCGAGGGATAAGAAAAACCCTGGAATTTTCGACTATTTGGACTCTTCGATTTCAGCGACTAGCCCAACCCATTCCGTGACGTCTGAGATCTCAGTCAAGGTTCAATCGAAATCACCAGCAGTCGAGGGAATTGATCAGTCACCTGTTTCATTAGTAAACACCAATTTGAGCGTAAACAAGGTGAAAAATGAAGGCGTTCTCGCATCATCTCCTATGAAACCAGAGGCATTAATCAGCAATAGCAACACCAACAAACTGCCAAGCGGAGAGTCGAACGTAGTTCCCAATCTGTATTCGTACCAATGGCTCAGTTTTCTGTCTATCTATCAAGCAATGGCCGCACAAAGCATGCTCAACGGAGGTCTAAACCCAGCTTCTCTTTTGCAAAACCAACTCGCAAATTTGGCTATTCTGAATCAGTTGAAAACAGAAACAGCGACTAGCAATTTGGAATCATCTGAGAAGTCGCCGTCAACAAAGCCATCACCTGTTCAATCTGAACTCGGTGGACTTGTGACCCCCAACAAATCTGACGCCAGTTTGGAAACTTCGTCGAAAGCTTCTGAAGACGAACCTCTTGATCTTTCACTAGTGAAAACCGAACACGAGCACGATATGAGTAAATCCAGTTCAACATCACCCGGTTCTGACACTGGCTCAGTGGTGAACGCCTCAAATGGGATCTCAAATGACGGAAGCATCAGTGGTGTCTCAAACTCATCGGACTCTTTGATCATGGATCTGAGCAGTTCAATTCTGCCGCCGACGTTGATGTCTCCGGGAAGTCAAGATTTGAACTCATCTGCTTCATCTTCGCCTCTGTCATTGTCCAATAGTTCTTTTCTCGGAGGGTTGATGGGACATCAACATAACCAAAAAAGTAAGCTTTGTTCTCAGTTTATTTTGCTCGAATTGTTTTCATCAATAGTTTCTCTTAAAGGATTTAGAGCCGAAAAATATTTATACTATATTGTTGAGCTGAACCTGTTTTTGTTTCGGTTTTCTATAATTTTTCAAGACAGTTTTACCGAGAAAAACCATCTTTTCATATATTTTTTATTTAACTGTTTTTCTATTTTTTTTGATAAATCTGTTTCTGTTTTCCAGCTGACTGTGGCTCTGCAGCTGGTTCTTCCACCTCCTCGCCAGTTGAGTCATGCAGAAGTAGCAGTCCGAGTAGTCTGCTGGCAGCCGCCTGTGCCGCCAACCCCTCCCACGGGGGTCCATTTGCATGCACCCAGTGCAAGAAGGTGTTCCAGAAACAGAGCTCACTCATCCGACATATCTACGAACATTCCGGTAACCCAATCAGTTTCGATATGAACGTTTTTTTTTTTTTCAAAAAAAGTTCAAACTTTCAATTTTGTATGTTTTTTAAATCGGGTTTTAAATGAGTAGCGTGTTTTGAAATTGGGTGCTATTTCTTCAAAAATCTTGTCCCATCTTGTACACAGCAAGAAGTCTTCTCTAAAAATAAAATTTTTTGATGCATTAATTTAAAATTTTCTAAAATGAATCGATTTTTTTTCAAACTGATTTGAATAAATAATTTATTTATAGCACCTAGTTTGATCTTAGCAGAGACAGAGATGTATTGATGTTATGTTTGTGTTGTAGGCAAGCGTCCATACCAATGTACGCAATGTGACAAGGCGTTCAAGCACAAACACCACCTCACAGAACACTCCCGCCTGCACTCTGGAGAGAGACCCTTCCAGTGTCCCAACTGCGCCAAGAGATTCTCCCATTCAGGTACCAACACCACCACTACTTCTATGACTCTCTTACTAGTCTCTATACTCACCTCTGTCTGTAATGTTTGATAAGATATTGTTTTTCTTTACCTCTTTTGGTGCTTTCAGGATCGTACAGTCAGCATTTGTCTCAAAAACGGTGTCTTTGAGGTCTCACGTTTAAACTGCGAGCAATCAAAGCTCAAATTTTGTCGATGAAATCAGAACCGAGCCAAGGAATGGACGAGAGGACCAAAGTTGCATAGAAAACTGCAGTTGCCTGTCAATCAAAACAATGAAACGAACCAGAAACTTCTTCATTAAATAAAACTAATGGCCGAAATTTAAAACTCAATTGTTTTGTGCACCGGTGTTGCTTTCAATTTTGACCAATTATCATTATCACCCTGCGTGCATTAATGTTAAAGTGCAATTATTCGCAATCAGTTTTTGTATCATGTACAGGTAAATTAGTTAAAAAGTAATCTAAACCAAACCAATGAATTTGCTTCCTAAATAAGCCTTACTGCTTGATTTCGCTCCTTCATTGAGTAAATCATTGATAATCATATCTTTAGTTATAACACTGTTTATGTTGTTTAATTTTGCTGAACAAGTGCAATAACCACAAAAATAAATTGCATCGCAGCAGCCTTATCTCATCACCCTATGTCATCACCATGTCTCTCCTTATGTTTTTTTTCTCTTGAAGTCTTAAATCAAGTGATCATCATTTTATTCTGTGTTGATTGCAATAGTACATATTTATAGAATAGATAAATTTTGGATACTAAAATTTGGGCTGGCAATCAATTCAATTTCTATCCCTTAATTTTTTTCAAATATGAACATACGAATCAGTGGCGGATCTAGAATATTCTCGAGGGGAATAAGGCAGATTTTTAAATAAAAATTCCAAAATTGTGTCGACTTTTTTCTAGGTCGACCAAATTGATTCTCTGAGCTCTCCAGAATCACTAAAAAGACCCCATTTTGACAAATTTTCTGCGACGCATGAGACTTTTTGAAAAAACACGCCAAAAAGTGTTGACCAAAAAATCGCATTTGTCGGCGCGCGCTCCCCCTCAAAATTAGTAAATATTGGCGCCAAAGTCGCCTTTAGAAAATTTTTAGGGTCATTCAAAAATGGATATCTAAAAGGGGGAGTGGGTCGGCAAGCGTTCAAATCACTGAAATAAGGGGAACGTCCGGCAGAAAAGTCACAATAATTTGCACATTTAACAAAGGCTTTCAACATACATAGTCATCTGATTGCAATTGCAGGTTAGAACGAAGGTTTTCAGTATTTATTAGCGTCACTTTTGATCGCAATTCAGTTTTTTTTATCTAAGTGTTGGTCCCAGCAAATGATTCATTCAATAAATTTTTCCGATTCTATAATTTCAATAAAAAACTACTTAAAAATATAGAAAAAACTTTGATTTTCTCATGTATTTTTCACACTTTCAGTTCTGCTGTAGAATCAATTTGGGATCTTCATTGTCCAGAACCATTTATTTTGTTACCAAGATAACTTGGTTGAATATTGTTCCATGTTTTGGAATCACGATTGAAATGACTTTATTATGACAAAACATTTGATGCATTGCTAAAGTTCTTTCAGGTATGTCCAAATAGAGTAAAAAGAACAACTCACGCTATAGTCAATCACATTCTACGAGTGACTGGAACAGTAACATTCGATCTTTATTCATATATATTTCACGAAATTAAATTCTTCAATTGGTCGCAATCTCTCAATGCTGCGCACAAGGGTTCTGACGTATCCTAAGCCTATCTTATGACTGTAAGAAATATTTAACCCTTTGATAATTCAAGTTTTTTGACTTTTTGAAAACTTTTTATAAGAGTTTTTTTTTTCAATTTCTTAGCTAGTGATAGAAGACTCAGTTGTTTAATGAGTGAAATAAACCATTCATAATAGTTGAAAAATGAAAAAACCCTGTAAGAAATATAAATTAAGTTTTAATGTAAACTTTTCAGTCTGAAAAACTTCAAGCTAAAAATGTTCTTTTTCAGACCAGTTTTTTTCAATGCTGAGACTTTTGTAAGAAAAACATTTGAATAACGACTAAAATTTTTTTGATATAGTTCCATATTTGAGCTCCTACGAGCTTTTTGAGTCTAAATTATTGGAGCCGGTTCTGCTATATTTAATTTTTTTTCTACCACGAAATTTGTATAAATCCACTTTGTTTAAGCAGAGCTCTGTTTAAACGCTCATTTTTAGAAATTATTCGAAAAAAAGTACTTAAATGATTTTAGGTTTTTCCTTTAGATTTCTTTCAGATTTTTTCATCATACCACGGACAAATAACGGAACAATTTGCAAAAATTAAACCTTTATAAAATAAATTGTTTTTTGATTTTAGTCGGAGATTATTGTGGTGTTTGGGCAGCAAACGGAAATCAAGTAGTACTCGACTCTTTCCATCAACACCAGTTGAACTCTGATTGACAATTACAGTTTTATGATACCATTTTGAGGTCTATTGGATCCAGGGTGTGCGCTCAATCTCTGTATTTTAGTTAAAATTTGTTTGAAAAAGTATTTACTCGTATTTTCGGCAATTTAGAAACAATACAGAAATAAACCAAAAAATCTTGTAAATCAGGTTCATAGTTTCGTCCAATATTCAACTCCGATTATGAAAAAACTCGGCGCAAGCTAGCCACAAGAAACGGTAATGTCTTTGAGACAAACTGCTATTTTTGACGGTCAGCCTCAGTCAAGGGCGGGTGCGCTCGCTTGTAACGGTCTTTATTAATGCGGATCGCGAGCATCCGTCCTTGCCCGTAGCGAGTGGATAGTGTCCACACGGACTGTTAGGCTTTATGAGCAAAAGCAAGTCTTCAGCTTTCAACTTAACATCTGATTGCATGTTCCACTTTGCCCTCTTATTGAGGGAAGGAGCTTAATCACGTATCCAACATGTCCGTATTGCGTTAGCTTTTTGTAGTTTTGTTGCGCTCTAGCGTACCGTTATTTCTGTTCGAATGTTGTTCAAAACGAAGCAACGGAAAACTCGCTGCATGTTCATCAAGTACAAAAAGGTTTGGGGTCAACGCCTCTAAATCCAGCGAGTTGCAACTAACATTTAGTGAAAGCCGAACAAGGCAAAGAGTGATTCCTAGAATCTCCTCAGTTTCTCTTCTGTTGCCTAGGTTGTCACACTGTACTGGCCTGACACTTCTAACCAACTGCTCCCAGGTCTGCGTGGATTGAACTTCCATTTGATCCCTTTCTGGACAAAAACTGCGGATGTGAAATTACTCCAAATCACAATGCAATCTGTGAGCTCATTCTGAGCGCCCGCAAATTTGTACAGTTGTCGGAAAAAATAGGAGTGGTGCACTGCTTGGATTGAACTTCCATTTGATCCGTTTCTGAGCTAAAGCTGCGGGCGGGAGCGAACTTGTTCGAACTCACAACGCAACCTATCAGCTCATTCTGAGCGCCCCAGAGTTCGTATAACGTTGTCATACATGATGGTAGTCTGAATCCCACGCCCTGCAATAAATCTCTCTATGCTCTCTATGTGTACCACTCTAGTGGTGAGAAAGGTAAGCAAAAACCCATCTTTTTTTTTACTTCTGCGGATCGGAACAAGAAACGGCCCAAAGTAGTCAACACTTGTGTTAAAGAAAAGAAGTCGCTTGTAAGACAACCTCTCAAAGGGCATATCAGTCATGATAAGAGTTAAATTTGCTTTTTGCGCTTTCAGCTTGTATCGCTGTTATTTTCATTGTTTCGCATCAACTAGTTTGTTTCGCATTAAACCAAACGTATTTCAAAGTAAAAACAGCACGCATGTAATCCAAACCTTGGTGGATTTTCTTAAAGTACATGTGTTTAATCAATAACGGAACCAATCAGCTATAATTGGATGGTTGCCAATAAAATCGGAACTAACCAAACGACTGATGCGCCCAGTCGGGCGAAGGATGCCAGCTGGGTCATTGAGCGTCGAATACTTGGCGATACCGGCGATGCGACTATTCCTTGTGATATTCTTTGTGGAACATAGGAAAAGTCGTATAACTTCGCTGAAACTTTAGCTAGCTAGGGAACGACTCATGCTGGGATCGGTTAAAGAATTTTTGCTGAACAATGTCCATTTTACACAGGTCGGTAATATCTTATAAAATGGACCGGAAATGCTTATGGGATGGCTCCCATCTCAACAAAAAGGCTACCGCCCGTTTGTACTTTTCATTTGAGTTAACTCTGTCCTAATTTTCGAATGGGAGATTATTGTCTGGCAAAACATCGACGATAAAATCTGTCGAATTATCCAGTTATATGTCAATATCACATGAAATTCCTGTGAGTCTTATCTTATCAATAAGCCTTCAATCGGGTTTGAACGGCCAATCAGTCGTCCTCATAATTTTAGTGTCATTATCCCGTTTGCTTTCATCGTGCGCTTGCGAAGAAGTCCCTCGTGTACCGTTATCAGCTGGGTTATCACGGGTTTGTTCGGGTTTGTTCCGGTTCAACACCGGATGATGCCGGAAGTACCACTCATAATCGGTTCGTGATTTGGGATTGTGTGTCTTAACGGTTATGACATTCTTTTTGTATATCACCTCCAATTGTATCGGAGCGATGGATCTCTATCTAACCTCCTTTTGAACGACTGTAATTGAGCTCAGTAGAAATAGTAGATTTTTCGGTAAACGAATTTCATTATAATTTCAAGAAATTGGTACAATGTTTCTCTCACCATCGTGAAAGACGTCGTATTTCAAAATTGACAGAGCGCGTTTGTCGGCGGCGGAACTGTGTCAATTTTTTTGAAGGCTCCATACGACTCCATCTCATACCAAGTTTTAATTTGGTCAGCTAGAGACATGTCCTCAAAACTCAATTAAAGCTAGTTGAGTTCGAATTGAAGAACGGTTTTAACAGACCGCTAAGAACCCAACATATCGTAAAGCTTACGACGCTCAATTAATTAGAGTTCTGCCCTAGAAGGTTTTCAATGGCTCTTATTGCGTGGTAGAAATCTTGTCCAATAACTATTTCGACTTCGTCACACTTGTAATGTATCAGTTTTGTCGGAGCCAACTGCGGCGAGTTTTTTCCAGTAGTCCAGGAACACTTATGCCATCGGGTTCAACGCGGATATGAAGTTTAACAATAAATCGGAAACAAAACGAAAAATGTTCGTTTCGGCAGGAACTTGAAAAATTAATCGATGATTTTTCATCAAGCTCGTGGAATTGAATCCATTATTGGTGAGGCTAACGGGAGTCAAAACCAAGTGAAGTCGCGGCGAATACTCATGAGTGCATGGAAGTACTTTACCAAAGAACTTAGCTTCAGTGTTTTTTTTGCATCAGAAGAAGCGGTAAGTGATGAAAGTGGTAGAAGGCCTTCAGTTGTCTCCTGGCTATGAACATTGCCGACGGCTACATCAATCGATACATGTTTAGTATTTGCGCTACCTGACAATGGGAAATTTATCTTAAGCTTTGGAGGATAGTTTTTCTCAGCTACATGCAAGACCACCTTGTGCGTGGTTTGACAATCTGGCTTGGGGCATTTTTTTGCCTTGCTACATTTGCTAAGCAAAGTTTTCGTTCGGCATCTTACTTTGCCCGTTGTGCATTTTTTTTCTATGAATACGGCGCAATTCAAAAGAGCATGATGTCATTTACATACACTTAGTTTTGCGTTTTTAGCAGACACATTATGGCTATTTTCAACTTGAAGGGCTCCTCGGTTTACTTTTAGAATTAAGCGACCTTAACCTCTCATGACTCTCAGCTTTTTCTTTGAGTCACTCATAAAGTCTATTTGAGTTA